GAGTTCCCTAAGCCATCTAGTTAGTTACTCCGAGACCAGCCAAGCGCCGATCAGACATAACCTCTAACCTAAAATAAAAGCTATGTTAATATGATGCTTGGTCAGGGCTACCCACATCTCCAGGGCGATGAGAGATGAGTATGGAGTAATGGCGGATTGATGATAGCAGGAGGGAAACTGAAGAATTCGAAAAAAAATCTTTCAACATTGCCAATTCATCGACGACAGCATTTAGCCGCCTGAGCTACGCCACGGTAATTGTGGTGGTGATACTGCAAACTAACCACCAGAAAACTTTTTGTCTTTGAATCGTTGATGTACAATGTGATCAGTGACGTTACTGTACGTTACATTAAGTTTATATTGGGTAACTGGGTTGTGGCGATATGAAGCTAATGCACTTGGCAGTCAGTATGTTAAACATTAATGACTGAGGGGGATTCTGAATGCGCGGGGGTGATTTATTATTGACAGGGTTGGAAGTTGCTGCTTTGAAATACAGCGACGCGCTGTCGTAACGTTCAAGACATGGACACCTCATATATGTATATGACGGCCGTATGACTAAACGCCTGCACTTCACTCAACCATAATACAATGCCGTTTCGACGATGATTTTGACGTTTTATAACGACGCCTATAGCGGTGATGATTGCCAGGTTATTGTAAAAGTGGACGTATAAACTTTTCGAAGTACTAAAAGTCAGGCAAAATATGATCTATGATTTCACATATAGAAATTGCAAGATTTCGAACCTCTGTATATTGTTATTATTAATATTATTAATATTTTGTTACAGTTTAAAGTATTAAATGGCAGTGCATTCTATTATCTGACCAAATAACCTAACTTAAAATAATTAATCTTAATTATGATTCAAAAGAACACATATATAAATACCTTGAAACAGCACACACAAACAAACAAAACATTCACTAGCTATAAAGCGTGAAAACAGATAGATAGATATAGTAATAAATATTGTGAAGAAACAACCACGACATATTTCAAAGGTACGATTCCGGTACTCGTGTTGACAAACCGTTCAGGAGTACAGAAATCTTAAAACCCGACAACCAAACCTATATTTAAATTGAGAACTTCATGAATACAGAATACGATGCACTGACCATATACTTGATGTTATCAGCTGTATGGTTCCGAAATAAAGTGGACGATACTGAATTATAATACCCTAAATAAATAAGCGTATAAATTAAGTTTAATAACGCAAGGAGCCATGAAGATGAGTGGAGGTATAGTTCAACACATTCTTGACATAAGATTTATACCGACCGACACGTGGCGCAGATACACACACATATTAGCGCCAGATTCATGTTTGAAGTCATTAAATCTCCGTGACTGGCTAACGAGATCACGTGACAGCAGATGCATATCGGACGATAGAAGTAAAATAATGTACAATTCTGGAGTGGAAACCTCTTGGCAAGCCAGAGACTAATGTGAAAAGATAATATTAAAATGGATGCCACACAAGTTGTGGGGATGTTAACTGAATTAGTCTAGCCCAGGAAAGGGGAACAGATAGTGAATATCTCTTACCTGACATGCGCACTGCGTCCGGCAGTCGAGGAGGAAGGTCTCTCCATTGTCGTACGTCTTATTGTACACTCTGCACGGCAACCCCTTGATCGCTGCAACACATGTAACAAGGCCAGGTAATTACTCCGCTACAAGTCAATACATGTAATTGGATGCACAACCAATTACGCTAGTCCCAAACACCTTTCCCCTCTTTCGTTGCAGGCTCCATACCCAACTAATGTGACGAGATTTTGCCAACATCAAGGACCACGCAGTGAAATACCAGCGCAGGAGAAGAATACATCTGGAGGAACAAAGTTAATTCGATAATGGGTAAATAGGAGCGGTTGTCTTACATAATAACTTACCAACTGAACTAACCAACCAGTCATTTGTCCTATTAACCAACCATACAAAATATTACTTATGGACCTTGTGGTAATAGTGGAAGTAGAATTTTAGTCAAGGTACAGTTAGGACTATAAAATTAGTGCCAGTAATGTCGTATTCAACCGTAACAAAGATAAGTAACGTTGTTATGATGTGTTTTCTAGTTTGTGAGTTTATTAAATGTTATTCTTGCAACAAATCAATTAGAATCCCTGCAAAAAATATTATAAATTAATAAAAGTTTGCGTAAGATAATAAATATAAAGGAAAAATATTTTAAAATTTACGTAACAAGCATTAGCAGATACGTCCTAAACATAATGATCCAATTGACATTGAAATATGTAGTCTAATATTTTATACGATAATAAAATATTTTTTGTGTTTTGAAGTTCATAATTACCGTGGTAGTAGTTTACAAAACAGAAATATTTCAATGTAGATTTTAAGAACCAAATTAATTTTGTTGTAGTCACTCTTGTTATACAGAATGGGGCAGAGATTATTTTTAAAAACATAATTTTCAATCACAGATTATTAAGATCATTCAAAATAACGTGAATTGAAAGACATTGAGGAATATTATAACAAAGTTACTTCCTAAAAATAAGACCCCGTCAGATGTCGTCCATCAAGATTGCTATTCTGATGAACTGATTCGTAACACTTTAAATTATGCACAGTATAATTGTCGGTGACATAACATTAATTTCAGAAATTCCATGTTTTAGATTATTTAAGTCTGTTGAACGTGTTTGAAACACTTTGCATTTCTAGTAGCTCCATAAAAAGGGATCGAAAGCTGATATATCGGGCGAACGGGCTGGCCAATAAATGTCGCAAAAGCGAGGAATTATTCGATGTTCAGAGTCCTTTAACTATTCATCGACTGCCGAGCAGTACGTGCTGTCACTCTATCTTGTCGGAAGCAAAAGGTGACAAGGCTAATTTCACGACAGCGCACTCAGAAACAAAACTTAATCGTCGTATGCTTCCTTTAGGGGGCTAGTACCATTTCAATGATTTACCTAAATCATAGTTTTTACACTGCCACGAGGCCCCCCCCCCATTCTTCTTCTTGAAGAAGTTGTGGTTTGAAACTTCTCTACCCGGTTCTTGATGGCGTTGCGATCAGGAGCCTTTCCATGTCTCTGAATGTTAAAATATCGTCTGCATTGCGATCACAGAATCCCCGGGACATTTAGAGTACTTATTTTATTTAGTGTTCTGTCTGACGACAGGTCCATATGAACAGGATCCTTCCATCCTTTTCTCGGACTGGGACCTGTTCATATACGTTCTTGGCAGATGATCCAAAAGTGGTTTGCCATTGCCTTCTTCTGTGTGTGTGAATGGAGTAATTGTTGGGATGCCACGGAGGAAAACTCCGTGTTGCCTAGACCACGGCCTTGCCCAACACAAGTTATAAATTCGGGCACCGCCGGGAATCGAACCCGAGACCCCAGGATTACAAGGCCAGCGTTATAACCGCTAGACCACCGTGGCGGTGATATTTAGAGTACTACGTAAATCAAAATAATAAATGAAAGCTGTCATACTTTGTACTAGGCATTCTTTCCGAATCAAAAGGCGATACATCTTAAGACGTAATTTGCTACTCATTTGCCATAAAACTCATACAAACTGAGACCTAGAATTCGAAATTTTATAGATTTTACATAAATTTCTGGTTGACTGCTTTATTGTAGAAAGTAGACTAAGATAACTGTAGGCCTATACGCTATTCAACAGTCACAAAAAAAAATACTTTACGTGCTGATTTAAATTGAAAATTACACGTATTCATTTGGCTGTATGTTTCCGAGCTGGTAAAAATTTAATTTACTTTCTTTAAAGCATTAAAGTTTACACTGCGGTAGCGTCTAGTGCTTCTGAGGAAGAAATCTCGTTTGTAGCATAAAAACAGTTAACAACACAAAATTAGGAAGTAAACAAAAATTACATACCCTACTAAACTTCCTTTAGGCAGTGGTACTTATTCCGCCCTAAATGTAATTTATACAGAGACACGACTCTGTATAAAATCGGTTTAAATTTCACTCAAATGATGAGGTCTTAAAAGACTGTCTAGGAATTACCAACGAATGTAAATAAACAGGGCGCCATGAAACTCCACTGAGCTAAGTAGTAAGGCGTTTAAATCTAGAGAAACACAAAGTTGTTTAAACTTGCATATAAACATCGACATTTGCGGAAATTGCACATGGAATTAATTATGAACATATCCAGTCTCCAAACTGAGAAAACTCAGTTGCCAATTACGGTGAACGAAATCATTAAGAACGGAACTCCGTATTTCCATTTAATTATTTAATTTTTCCAGGATTTTAATGAAGTTCAGTTTTGCAGTTTACAGATCCGTTACACCCCAATTCATCACACAGCCCACATCATGCGATGGAAATTAACAGTCCTACAATATTATTCTAGAAAAAAAAAAGTTTTCTGATATCGTTAACCACAATTAGTCTTATGCTTCTCCCGGTCAATTATTAAGCCTGTACCAGCCTCAAAATTCTCTTTCACCGTCTCTGTGGTCTTCATTCTCATGTTTACATATAATTCTATGCTATATTTGTCGTCGGTTTTGACCCGTTCTAGCAACGTAGAACTTCCATATATTACCATAGACCATATGTAATAGTCTCTAAGTAAATATCAACTTCCTAAGAAATTAAAATTAAATTATTTGGTTATTCCGTCAAATCACAATGTAT